GGGGGAGGGGGGAGTCACCTATGGTTGAATGTGGTCAAATAAAGTTGTCACGTGGCAGGTTAGAACCGTTAATATTTAAAGTTGTCACGTGGCAGGTTAGAACCGTTAATATTTAATAGTATGTTTGGTCAATATGACCAATCTCCATGTGCCATGTCGCAAGATTTGGGCCAGCAACCCCATCTCCAGTATTTTGTTTTCACATTTAGGTTATGTTTGCATTGATCTCTTATTTTCATTCAAACCAAACACAACTGATTCTATTCCTTAAACAGAGGTGTTTGAATATGTGAGTGCTATACATGGAAGGTATGGAACTGACGTGGATACCAAACAACATAGGCTAGCTAACACATCAAGAAAAGACCCAAAGAAGCCATGATTATTTGGCCCATTACTTTGTTACTTTAATGGGCAGAGCATCTTTAAGCATAAATATCTAGTTGATTCCATAATCTAAATGATGAAACTCAATGGGCCCCCTCTCCAATATACAATTACTTTTTGTAGATCCATTCCGATTACTCCTGGCAACTTGGCAAGGCATCGTGTATAAAATTAGGGGCCCACGGCCCATTTTCAAGTTCACCCACATAACAATTTAAACATTGTTTTATTGAGAAAAGAATTCCATTTTGGTTATTTTATTCTTTTCAAAAGCACTTTCTCTTTGCAATAATTTTGGATTGTGGAGAGAGAAAAATAAATAGTGAGAAAAAGAAAGTGGTTAAGGCTCAATTTGAAAAAAGAGTACAAAAATAAATATGTATAATACAAATAGATACAAAATAATACAAAACACAAGGTTTTGCATTTTACATATTTATACTTGTATTTGTATTTTTCCTAAGGCTCAGTTTGGAAGAAGTATAAATGTAAATATATACAGTGTAGAGTACAAAATATTCGTATTTTGTATTATTTTGTATGTATTTATACTGTATATATTTGTATTTACAAATACGAATTTGTAAAGAACAAAACCTTATATTTTGTATTATTTTGTATATATTTGCATTGTACATATTTGTATTTATATTCTTTTCAGACTAAACATAAGGTTCAATTCAGAAAGAGTATAAATACAACTATATACAATACAAATAGATATAAAATAATACAAAATACAAGATTTTGCACTCTACATATTTATTGTATTTGTACTCCTTCAAACTAAGCCTAAGGCTGTGTTTGGTTGCAATTCAATTTTATTTGTACTAGTATATATATGGGAGTGCAAATGAAAAAAATGTAAATTTTGGTTTAATTTTCTTTTATATTTTACTTTATTCTGCTTTAGGTGTTATTTTACTTGATTTGTACTGCAACCAAACAAATTAAGGCTCAGTTTGGAAGGAGTACCAATACAAATATGTACTGTGCAAATGCATACAAAATACAAGGTTTTGTACTCTACAAATTTGTATTTGTACTCCTTCCAAACATAGGATAAGGTAAAATTTGAAACAAAAACAAATCAGAATTTACACTTGACGAATCATTTTTTGGTGATGTATCATTTTTTTGTGCTAAGTACCTCTTCATTTGGTCTGCTTCCAAGTGGCCGATGATTCAAAGGCCGAAGTGAACTTTTGCTGGATGAGGACTTGGATGCCGAGCTGACCAGGCCGATCTGGGGGCAATTTAGGTGCCGAGTTAACTAGGTCGAGCTGGGCAGGTTAGGTGACGAACTGATTGGGCCGAGCTAGGTAGGTTAGGTGATGACCTGGGTGGGCCGAGCTAGGCAGGTTAGGTGACGAGCTAACCAGAGTGCCAAGCTACCTATTAGTTGTCGAGCTGACCAGAGGGCCGAGCTGCCTGGTGGCGAGTTGGATTGATTGTTGAGCTTCGTAGTTCTTTAGACACCAAGGAATCAATGTCAAGGGACCTGGGGTGGCTAACTCGACGAGGTCGCTCCGATGCTTAAGTCAATACTCTCATAGTAGACTGTGAGCTAAAATCACAATGTATGAGAGCTAGAATATGCTTACTTGCCCCCCCTATGCCATTGGGGTCCGTGCCTTTATATAGGCATTGTTTGGCATGGGCTTCACGCACCGCATCCGAGATTTCCGAGAAGTCGTCTAAGTGGTCCGAGATTCCCTAAGGCAACCGCCATGCACGTTGACTACCCTCCGGATCGTTAGGCACGTGGGCCAACTTCCAAGGATCCTGGGAGTGTTAGGATATGCATGCCGAATTTGTCGGCGAGCACGTCTCGCAGGTCGCCAGGTCGGCACCTGTGCCAGGCAGCTAGTTCGGCGCATGGGCCACGCCACCAGTTCGCGCCTGGGCCAGGCTGCTAGTTCGTGCCTAGGCTAGGCCTCCAAGTCAGCACCTCGGCCAGGCCGCCAGGTCGCACCTAGGCCAGGCCACCAATTCGTGCCTGGGCCAGGCCACTAGTTCGTGCCTGGGCCCGGTCGCCAGGTGGGACACCATCAACTTAGCTAAGGCAAGTTGTTGCCAAAGTGGTTCCGGGTGTCACCTAGTTGTTTCGAGGTGCCATGTGTCACAATATCATTAGAGGGCCAAATCCACCTTCATCATTTGCCCCCCACTCCCAAGCTGAAAGTAACTCGGTGAAGGGAGTAGATTGCTCCTTTTGGCCTGAAATGATTAATTCGATGAGCTCGTAAGCGTCGATTCAATTCCTTAGGCTCTGGGAGCGACTCGCAGTCCACTCACCTTACCCTTGATTTTGCCCATGCTGAAGAGGCGATTGTGTCTTATGTGGTGCTGAAGTCTTTGCCAGTTTGGCACTTTAACCCTTAGGCTCTAAGAGCAACTCATAGTCCACTCTCCTTGATCTTTGATTTTGCCCATGCTGAAGAGGCGACTGGATCTTATGTGGTGCCGTGGTCTTTTATCAGCTCGGCACCTTAGAGCTACGACTGCGCTGCATCAAGCTCGTTAGTGACGTCCGTTACCCACTCCTATAAGAAGCTACTAGGAGCTCGACCTACGGGGGCAGCACTACTGACTTTAGGTCACCAGCTCGTACGAGAGCCTTGGAAGGCTCAACCGGTAGGGGCGTCCATGCAATCTGTTGGCCGCCTACTCCCATGGAAGCCACGAAGAGCTCATCTTTGTAGAGGGTACCTCGCGAAGAGGACTGATGAGGCTTTATTCGAGTTGAAATAAAGTTGGTAGAGTTGCTTAGTCTGTTGGCCATCAACTACCTGCATAGTCTTTGAGTTCATAAAAAATGGAAACTAGAAAGTGAGAGCTTTTAGTTTCTAAAAGGTGAGAACTTAGCTTTCTAGAAAAAGAGGACTTAGCCTTTCGGAGGATGAGAACTTAGCTTTTTGTAGCATTTCCCACAGACGGCGCCAATTGATGAATCAATTTTTGGTGATGTATCAACTTTTTGTGCCAAGTACCTTGTCATTTGGTCTGCTTCCAAATGGCCGATGACTCAGAGACCGAAGTGAACTTTTGTTGGATGAGGACCTAGATGCCGAGCTAACCAGGCCGAGCTGGGGGCAGATTAGGTGTTGAGTTAATTGGGCCGAACTAGGCAGGTTAGGTGACGAACTGACTAGGCTGAGCTAGGCAGGTTAGCTGACGAGCTGACTGGGCCGAGCTAGGCAAGTTAGGTGACGAGCTAACTAGAGTGCCAAGCTGCCTATTAGTTGCCGAGCTACCTATTAGTTGCCGAGTTGACCAGAGGGTCGAGCTGGATTGATTGTTGAGCTTCGTAGTTCTTTAGAGATCAAGGAATCAATGTTAGAGGACCCGGGGTGGTTAACCCGGCGAGGTCGCTCTGATGCTTAAGTCAGTACTCTCATAGTAGACTACGAGCTAAAAATCACAAAGTATGAGAGCTAGAATATGCTTACTTGCCCCCCTATGCCATTGGGGTTGGTGCCTTTATATATGCATTGTTTAGCGTGGGCTTCACGCACCGCATCTGAGGTTTCCGAGAAGTTGTTGAAGTGGTCCGAGATTCCCTGAGGCAACTGCCATGCACGTTGACCACCCTTCGAATCGTTCAGTACGTGGACCAACTTCCAAGGATTGTGGGAGTGTTAGGATATGCATGTCGAATATGTCGGTGAGCACATCTCGCAGGTCACCTGGTCGGCGCCAGGGCTAGGCCGCCAGGTCGTGCCAAGGCCAGGCTGCCAAGTCCGCGCCCATGCCAGGCCGCGCAAGTTGCACCTGGGCCATGCTACTAGTTAGGCGCTTGGGCCAGACCGCCAGATCGCATATGAACTAGGCCACAAGTTGTTGTCTAAGTGATTCCGGGTATCACCGGTACATGTCTATCATTCCAGGGCCATATCGGCCCTCATCAACACCCAAAACATTTACACTGTCGCAGTTTCAAAAGCTCTTTAGAGTGAAGGCTCGTAAATTTATTGTAAACCAGAGGTATTTATTGGTGTCTGTACGTGGCAGCCTGGCAGGCTTTTGCGCGCCCCACTAAAAGCTCTTTAGACTGAAGGCGTTCGTCTTGTTGTGCGGTCTAGCTGATAAGGCCGTTGGATCTGAATCCCAAACCTTAACCAACGTTTGGTTTAACAAATTCAACGAACATTTTGGTTAGGTTAAGTAAGAAAATACAAAGAAACCCTAAAATCTGAAACAATTACTTCTTCCCAGTCTTTCCTCTTCCTTATAAATAGAAGGCTTGAGGTGCGCAATGTTTGCCAAAATAGAGAGCCTACGGGCCCTTGTGAAGAAAACAGCTCTCTTCTTCTCTCTTTTCCACTCTCATTTCTCTGATCTACATACTCTCTCTCTCTCTCTCTCTCTCTAAACAACAATGGCGTCTTCTTCTAGAACCAGATCCAGTGGACCAGTAGTTCACTTATCGAACGGTTTTCACCGTTCCATCTCTCCTGGGAGATTCTCTTCCCCGACTGCATCGTCGTCTGCTTCTGCTTTTGCTTCGTCTAGTTCGAGTTTTACCTCCCGATCTACCGGTTTTTTTACTAGATCGGCCTCCCCGACTCGGGTGAACCTGTACGGTTCACACCCTTGCGCTCCCTCCGTTCGTTTCTCTCTAGATCGGTCGATCTCTCCCAACCGGTCGATTGCTGTAGCTCCTCGCAATCAGGTCGTAAGAAAACTGAGTAATCCGTTGTCCGCTCCGTCGTCTCAGAAGAGAACGTGCCTGTGCTCTCCAACCTCGCATCCCGGGTCTTTCCGTTGCAGTCTCCACAAAAACATGAACAACCAAGCGGTGTCCTATCCGTCGAATCGGTTGAATGCGCGGAGGTCGGCGATGACGAATTCGCTTGTTCGGATCGGGACCGTCGAGGGAGAATGGGTTAAACGTGCCTTGGCCGCCCTAATCCGGCCTTCTTCTCATCAGCAGAGGAGAAGAGCGGCTTTCCAGCCGCGCCCTAGCAGGCTTTCGATCATGTCGAAGGCCGAGGATTTATGATAGTCGTTTTGAGCAGGTTCGTTTGTTTTATTTCCCCCTCCGATCCCCTAAAATCTTTTGTATTCCCAGTTTTCCGGCTCCGGCGAAGTCAGATTCCGGCGGGATTGTTTTTGCAATCTGGAGGGAACGACAAACTCTCAGGTGGATCAATTCATCGACTGGTGCACGGATAGATCATCACCTACTATCACCGAATTTTTGTACTTCGGAGACAAATTACCCCAAAAGCTGTGACAGGACCGTCTCCATCTCCCTTCAACCACCGTTGTATATATCAATTTGCAGCCATTTTTAGGCTATTGAAGGAGTTATCAGAGACTAAAATTCTATCATTAGAAATACTAAAACTAATCCAACTAACTTGACAAATTAACCATCACAGACTTGATCCATTAAAGTTGATTAAGCTTCCAATAACTGGTTTGGTATTATGATAATCATTTCAGTGGTTTCCGTCGTCGTCTGTTCTTGCAGCGTGACGTTCACCGTTGCTTGTGCAGTTATGGTTGACGTGATCCGTTCGTGTACGGGTTTCATCTTTTGTGATGTTTTTGGACAGTGTATGTTACGTTCGTCTTTTCCGTAATACCGTATGCGTGTATTCATAGTTGCGTTTCGTGAAGGTAAAAATTACTTGCTCTATTTTTTTATTTGTTTTATTTATTTATTTACTTGTTTGCATTAATATTTTATGCTTTATGTATTTCCTTCTTTTCTTTGTTACAGGTTTTTCCGGGTAATTCTTTATTGCAGGTTTTGTGGCGATTTCAACAAATTTAATTCGAACCCAGCTTTTTTATACAGAAGGACATTGAATGATTTATTACAGACTGAATTAAGTGCATGATAATTGCAGCAGTTATAACCCGGAGAGATGATGACAGAACCAACTGAAGGAAATATGAACTGAATTAAGTTAAAAAAATTTGAAAAAAGGAAATTTTGATGGATTTAATTTAAGTAAAATTAATTTGGAAAATTAACTACTAAGACGAGGATTGAAGACATGAGGACTTGTCAGGGATACTGCCCAAGATTCTCTCCTGGACCAATAGATTGAAATTTCTAACGGGCTTGAACGATTTTAGTTGTGGGTCCCACATTTTTATTCCAATCCAGTGGTTGACTGGATGTCAGGCGGGGCTGCTGTTCTTTTAGCGGAGAGAGTCAAGAGACTGAATTAAATAACTAAATAAATATCTTCTGATTTCTGAAAACCATTAAACGAGGGCGGGATTTCACCCCGAAAATGGTGTGAGGGGACAGTTTGACTGCAGTGCGATCCAGAGAATGCAGTCACGGCGGTAGGATCTGTATGTTTGCATCCACCATTTCTCGTGGATGATGCCTTCTCGTAGAAGGGGTTGTACTGCACTCTCTGGGCTTTTTGTCAAAGCTCCGGTAGGAGCATCCGGGATAAGTAATCGATTAAAGATCAAGTTCATCTAGACCATCTAATGGGTATCTCTGAAACTGTTGGAGACACGGATACAAGTTGAATGCAACAGAAGAGAGGAGTGAACACACAGTGATGTGAATTGGTGGGGTAGTGGGGATTTGACGATGCCGTTGCGATGCCACTCTGGGTGACAAAACCAGCGGCGGAATCGAGATCTTTTCTGGCATGGATTCTGGAGTCAGGATGAAGAGTGGACTGGAGGAGGCGAGAATTAAGGCGGTTCAGTAGCGTTTACTTTGAAAGGACAACCGCGCGATACCCAAACCAAACCAACTAAACAAGTGAGACCCAGCTGTGCCCCATTTATTTATTTCCTTTTGTGTTTGATGATCTGTCACTCCCGCATCCAACCCCACCACACGCCCTCTGTTTCTGAAAATGCCAGCCATCCTTCCCAAATATTCACTATAAAATTATCAGGGCTTTCTGCATTTCCAACCACTGTTTTTGAAATTTTCTTTGGCCGAGCATCCAGATGGATCAAAAGTATCAAAACCCGTTCCAAGAGGGCTTATATTTTGAGCCGGATCTCCTAACTTGAATTTGGATACATGCTCCGCTAATCCGACCCATCAGAGGCTCTAACATGGACTTTAAGGGTGTTCGGTAATGTGATATATTATTATGATGGAATCCTTTTGGTCGTAGACAACAAAATAGCATAGATTAGAAGAGTCATATCCGAATTTATTTTTTATAGCATTTTCTGGTGGATGGGTCAGAACATGATATGGATAGTTTGTGGAAAATATCCGGTGTAATGCATTTGTGTTACATCAGCTCAAACATCTTTATTTTATTTAATTATTTAATATATTTTAATTTATATTGAATTTTGTAAATTGTTTATTGCTGAATATAATATTATAATGATAAATATATTTATTATATATTTAATAGTAATTATGTATTTGTGTTTTATTTTATCCATTATTATTTTAAATTAATTTTAGCTTAAATTATGTTATTCTTTTCATTCATGATCGATTGTATAAATTATCCCACAAGTAATATGTGAGATGTATCAAATCAATAGACATGGTATGGACTAGTCCACTATGAGGGTGTTCGGTAGTATGAAAAATATCGTGGACAAGACCGTTTTGATCCTTTCTACGATAGAATATGGTGTTCTGTTGGGTGTGAACGGTCCCCGTTTACAAAACAATATGGACAAGGAGGACCACACCTCAATTTATTATACATAGTATTTTCTCGTAGATGGACAACATTATGGTGTAGACAGTTTGTGGGAAGATTCGGTGTAACCTGTGTTTTATTAGAACAACTACTCTCATTTTATTTTATCTTTTAATATATTATAGTTTTTATAGAAATTATTTTTTAAACTATTTATTGTTGAAGATAATATTATAATACAAAAATATTTATTTTATATTTATTAGTAATTACATATTGGTGTTTTATTTTATTTGTTATTATTTCAAAGTATTTTTAGTTTAAATTATGGTTTTTTTTCATTCATGACCATAAAAGTGACCAAATCATGATCACATAAAAAATCTGATCCTATTTTTGTCACATTTGGATAACCATCCATCATATTTTTGGATTGGATCGGATATTGATGAAGGGTGATTTGGCCCAACCTAGTAAAGAGGGGACACGTGGACACGACCTGACCAAGAGATGACAACTCAGCTTAATGTAACCAGTCCGCAACAGATCGAGCTCGGGTACCCTACCACCTTGAGCTAAAATGACTTCGGGACAAACTCATAACTAGACGAGATCAACTCGATACCAGATCGCAACAAGAACACCTCGATGCCAAGACACTTCGGCATTCAACCTAGTTCAGGGCTTAAAGACATTAGTTCGGGGATACTGACACGCCACTACGTGGTGATCCCAAAAACCCCTCCAACAGATCCCGGGTCTCACGAGATCACGCCGTGTAACAACTAGCATTATTCGGGCGGAATTGATGAACCTTATCGGTTGGCAGCATTATCTTCCAACTTACACGGAAACGGTACTGTCGTGATGATGATCCCGGAACCGATCTGTAAAACCCGCGAGGACTCCATTATATAAAGGCTCCACCCCCGGTGGTTCAAGGTACGCGTGATTTATATGTTCTCTAGCTCTCTACATTCTTAAGCTGTTTTTAGCTCGCAACCAGTATACTGACTTAAGCATCGGAGCGACCTCACCGGGCTAGCAACCCCGGGTTCTCTGATCCTCTTGCAGATCAACTATTCGCCGTCTGCCCAGAAGCCAGATCACCTCCAGCAGGGAGCAACTAGATCGTGCATCATCAGTTGGCGCCGTCTACGGGAAACGCGACAAAAAGCCTTTCTCCACCATCAATAACAGAATCATATCCATGACTTCCTCCAGCAACACCGGACAAAACAACGAGATGAACGTCTACAGGGGCAGCCTTAGTCCCCTTCTCTTTGCATCAGTCAGTTTACCATCCCGCTTACCGTGGCTGGGGTTCCAACACTGAATGTGCCACAAGCGACCATGCAGGTGAACGCACCACTCTCTCCTGTAGTTGGTGCGACGTTCGCTGAACTGTCTGTGGTTCCCCTTGGAGCTGGACAATCCTAACTTGACGACCAGGTACACTGTGTTCGGGCCATTCAGGTCCAAATGTAGCAAGTCTAGTAGTATCAACTATACCAGCATCAAGTACTTCATCAGTTCTATCAGCAACAGTACCAGTAGCAGTTCCCTTCGTTGTAGCAGAATCAGTAGTCGGTTCCACCTCGACAACCGACAGTGCAACAGAATCAGACTCGTCATCAGAGCACTGACCCTCCTCGCTGGGGAGAGACTTCCCAGGTTTCGCATCCTCTTGGGAGCCAGGTCTCGTTCCGCGGCAGGAGGGACAGACAAGTCACCCCTCCCGCTTCGCAGAACTTGAACAGATCGGGAGACACTCAGCCCACCAGAGCCATTTCACCCCGGCCCTCGCATCATGAAGGTTCGCTTGTAGGGAATCGGTTCGGGGTTCTGGCCGCGGACTCAAAACAAGGCCCATCCGTCCATGGTAGCCAGGCTCAGCACCTAGAGCCACTCCACGCCAGAACGGTACCTAATCATACAGAAGTCAGCAGCACTAATGCGGAGCCGGTCAGGAAGCAGCAACAAAGCGTCGCAAGGCATGATGAACTACAGTTCACAGCCAGCTCGTCGTTCCTAGCCAACCAAAACAAGTGAAAGGTAAAGAGGAGGCGAGCTTAGCGGCCACAAAGACTGCTCCACTCCTGTCAGGGTCGTTTCCTTTGTCCTTCGAGCTCCTGGCAGTCTCTATGCCAAAAGACTTTAAAGTGCCTTCGTTGGACAAGTACGACGGATCGTTCGATCCAAATGGCCACGAGGACTCATTCCAGTCCCAGATGCATCTAGTTTGGGGTTGACGAGTCCTGCATGTGCATAGCTTTCTCCACGACATTCAAAGGGGTAGCCCGCATATGGTACAAGAACCTCGCACCAGGGACGATCAAAAGTTGGGCGCAGTTCGTACAGATGTTCACCTCGCACTTCATCACCAGCAAGAAGTGCCCGAGGTCTCAAGAAAGTCTCCTCAGCATAGTCCAAAGAGAAGAGGAGTCGATTCGAAACTACATAAAACGCTTCAACGACACTTGTTTACAGATTCCCGACCTGGATCCTGCTATAAGACTCACGGTAGCAAGGAGAGGAATTACACACACGGAATTCAAGTGGCATGTGGTAGCCAACAAGCCCAAGGACATCACTGAATTCCTCAACCTCGCCAACCAGTTCATCGGGACAGAAGAGGAGATGAACTAGAAGAGCGAAAAATCCAGCGGAGAAGAGAAAAAGAGGTGACAACTCGAATAACGATGGCAGTAAACGAAGAAAAAGAAGTCCCCC